CCCCACCCCACCCCACCCCACCTCCATTCTCCCATTTCTTTAACCCTGCCCATGATACGCGTGCATGCAACAGCTTTGTGCTCTTATGCATGGCAAGAAAAAAAGGTGACACAGAAAGAAAAAAAAAGAAAAGAAGAAAAAAAAAGGTGATAACTAACAAAGAAAGAAGATAGGGAAAAAAAAGGGAGGGATTCTCTTGTCGTATCTTCAACTGGAGGAAAAGTAGCTTTTTTTTTATTGTTTGGTGAGTTTTTGATTCTAGTAGGTGGTGAGTTTTTTATTCTAGTAGGTGTTGAGTTTTTTATTCTAGTAGGTTGAACTTTTCAAGCTGCTGCGCCCAACGTGGCAACGTTAGCAGCCATTGGAATGATTTTAGGAGCAGCCGTCTTATTCCATTTGGCTCTATAATAATATAGTTTTGTGTTCGGAAATTTAAAAAGCCAGCCGTATTTCCTTCATAAGTTCTTTTTGATTCACATAACAGAAGATATTTGTTCATGCTTTTACCTTTTCCAATTGGAGTTGCGTGGAGGGTGTTTATTCTGTGGGGTATTTATTCCTAGGGAAGACCGTCCTTACTTAGGAGCAGGGTACACCTTATCGCCAAGCTCTATCTTGGAGGATATTCTCAAATTAATACAAATATCATGTACCAAGTTACAAATCTGTTTGGCCAAACAATAAGGTCCATTCACACCGAGAATCCAATCTTTCTCATATCGAACATAATAGACTCGGACTTGTTCAATTATGAAATCACTACAAAAGTACGATAATTCTGTTTTACGCGCTTGAATCAAAGTCTGTATTTTGTTTTGAGAAGCTTTGCATACCTCATTCAATTGAATGTCTAATTCAGGCAGAATAATTTGACTGAAAAATGCTATTAAGTCCAAAAACTTCTGATCTTGAATTCGTGATAACAAGGCGCCGCTTATACACTGAGCTTCGCCCTTCACTCAAATAGATGACAATCGAGGAAAAGAACTATTTGGCACGGAGGGAGAAACTGTTTTGCACGTGTGGCCAACACACCCGTCGTTTGATGGAAAGACACACCCATCTTCTAACTAACCAGTGGGAGAAAAAAAAAAAAGGAAAAAAAAAAAAAAAAAAAAAAAAAAAAAAAAAGAAAGCACGAGGCTTGCTTGATCGTTGATAATGCGATCTTTGGAACGTCGACTGTTGAAAGAAGGCTTGGTCCGTCAATCAATAGAAGGGCAGTGCCGCATTCCAAAGAATGGAAGGAATGAGAGTATGGTGGTGTACACATGTCTTTTTATTTTCGTCTCTCTCCTGCATACCCGGCATGTTGTTGTTTTTTTTGTTTTTTTTTCTTCTTCTGTTTTCGGGAGTTTCCTTCATCCGCTGTTTGCTCGTCGTTTTGGGCCTCGCCACACCACTCACCGAACGGTAAAAATGCTAGTGCATCTTCCCAAACTGCCTGGACAGGTTCATCTGTTACTATCCATAGTAACAACGGATGTACCTTGCCAGTTTCTGCAGGAAGGTGCGCTCACTTTGTTTTTTTCGTTTTCAGAGTGGTGTGGCGAGGCTCTTTTCCTTTCCCCTGACCTTCTACAAGCAGTAACTCCTGGAGAACTTGCAATAGGGTTCAGCCTCCTGATGAGTCGGTGAAACTCCGACGAAACAGTTTGTCACAGCCCCTCGTTTGTTGTCCTCTTCTCCCTCTCTGCCTACGGTTTACCGGGCAGTTCTGTTTGACGATATATATCGTCACAAACAGAACTGCCCGGTAAACCGTAGGCAGAGAGAGAGAAGAGGACAACAAACGAGGGGCTGTGGAGAACTTGCAATAGGGTTCAGCCTCCTGATGAGTCGGTGAAACTCCGACGAAACAGTTTGTCACAGCCCCTCGTTTGTTGTCCTCTTCTCTCTCTCTCTGCCTACGGTTTACCGGGCAGTTCTGTTTGTGACGATCTGTTTGTGACGATATATATATATATATATATATTGTCGGGCAGTCGTTGATGCTCAACCACAGCCGGGGTTAAGGTGGATTATCACATACAGTGTAATCAGTTAGGGGATTCTGCATACTGTTGAGGGTTCAGCCTCCTGATGAGTCGGTGAAACTCCGACGAAACAGTTTGCCACAGCCCCTCGTTTGTTGTCCTCTTCTCCCTCTCTGCCTACGGTTTACCGGGCAGCTCTGTTTGACTATATATATATAAATATAGAGGAGAACTTGCAATATTATTTTATCACCGTATTACTTTTTTTTGTGTCTTCTGCGAAATTGATAACCCCATCAAAACCCTAAACCCTACACATCCAAGGATTTGCGGGGTTGATGAGGTGAGGGGTGAGCTTCAAATCATCATCAGGCAGGTTCCATGAACCCCCCACCGTGCAAGGATGACACACACAGAAATCGAGAGATCGTTCACTTTTTTGGCTACCCACATTCCAACATCGAATGGATGAGGTGAGGGGTGAGACCCAAATCATCATCAGGCAAGTTCATGAAACCCCTCGTGAGGGGTCAGAAGTATTCCACCGTGTCAAGGATGACACACGTAGATCGAGAAATGGGTCCAATTTCGTTGGCTACCCACATTCCAACATCGAATCGTTGTGGTGCATGTTTGATCATAGTTTTCCCACCTAGAGGCAACCAGACCTATTTTTTGACCGTGTTATGCTCCATGGCGCTTCAGGGGATTTGGATTGACATGCTCATTTTCCTGTCGAGTGGAGAAGCTTCTATGAATTAGCTGGTTGATGTGAGTCTGCTCTGGCTTTTAATCGGAGAAACGCTGGGAACACTTGGGAGGGATTTTTTGCTTTCCATTGTCTCAAAGCTTTACTTGATGCCAGAAAGCCGTCATGGGTCCTAGTTTTGTTGACGTCCAATTGAAGGTATCTATCTCACCAGTGGTTATTTGTTGACGTCCAATTAAAAGTATCTATCTCACCAGTCGTTATTTGTTGACGTCCAGTTAAAGGCATCTATCTCACCAGTGGTTATTTGTTGACGTCCAATTAAAGGTATCTATCTCACCAGTGGTTAACAGGGACCCCCCTTTCTGACGCTAGGTGAACCCTCAAGCACTGCAAAGTGCATTTGGGGTATTGTTTTTCAGGTAAACACACTTTTGCCTAGGGGTTTTAGGCTCCTTTTGTGAAGTTTTGTCCTTTTTTTTTTTTCGTTTTTTCTTTTCTTTTTTGCTGTTGGTTTATTTGGTGTCCACTTTATCGACTGCGGACAAGTTTGGCTTAAAAGGTGTGGGACGTTTGTTATAAAGACCATGAAAAAACCTTGAAAATTTAGGGCTCTGTTAACCTCCTCTCTCTCCGGCACAAAGAATGATGCTGGTTAGCCGTTCAAGACATGCTGCTTTCAGTTGTTGTTGTTGTTGCTGTTGTTGTTGTTGTTGTTGTGTTCATCTCAGTCACTCAGGATCATGTTCTGTTCAGTAACAGGTACTTCTGTGTGTGTGTGTGTGTGTGTGTGTGTGTGTGTGTGTGTGTGTGTGTGTGTGTGTGTAGTATTCAATTCACTGCCAAAATGCATGCTATTCGGAGGAAGATGGAAATGTCGGTGGTGGTTGTGTGCTGACGCTGGCTGGCTGTTGAAGACAACATACCACTTAAGGCATGTCTTCAACAGCCGTCCCACTGAATGCATGTCTTCAACAGCCATACCGCCGAATGCATGTATCAACAGCAATATCGCTGAATGCATGTCTTTGACGCGGCGATACTGCTAGTTGCCTGCTGAAGACGTGTCGTTGAATGTATACTATTCAGGGGAAGGTGGCAGTGTTTTGTAATCGTATGACGATGAGCAGAGTATGAAAGGAACACGGGGCCCATAATAGATGTATATATATCGTCAAACAGTATACTGTGTGGTGGTGATGTGGCATCCTGACAGTGGCAGATTGATATCGGCAGAACAAACAAGAACTACTGGTGCATTTATATATTGCAGACGCATCAATCGATTGTATTCATATCATTCCAGTAGTAGTTATTTACTTTGTGTGGTTTCAATTGACGCGATTGCAATGCCGGTATATCTTCTCCCCCTCTGCCTACGGTTTACCGTACAGCTCTGTTTGACGATATATATGTATATGTATATTGTGTGGTGGTGGTGGTGGTGGTGCATGTGGACTGTGGCAGATTGTTATTGGCGGAAGGAACAAGTACCTGATCAATGGTCACGTGGCACAGCCGAGCAGGGTCCAGAATCTGTTTCACTCTGTTCAGCTGAATGTGAATAACCCTCATTTTTTGATTATGCAAGGTAGGATTACAAAGGTGTTGAATATGAAACCCCCTGAGACGCTATCGATGCTTGAGGAGGCCGCCGGAACGCGCATGTACGAAGTCAATAAGGAGCGAGCTCTCAAAACTCTTGAGAAAAAGCAGGCAAAGGTAGATGAGATTGACAGAGTGCTTTCTGAAGAGATTCTCCCATCGCTCGAAAAATTGAGGAAGGAGCGGGCTCAGTATATGCAATGGTCCGGCTTGAGCGGCGAGGTTGACAGACTCAAGAGGTTTTGCATTTCATATAGCTATGTTGAGGCGGAAAAAGCGAAGGATCGATCTCTTGAGAAAGCGAACCAGATGAAAGCGAAGATAGAAGAACTAACAGAAGGCGTGAAGACGGTGGAGGCCGAGATGAACGAAAAGGCGGAGGCTGTCGCACGTATGGTCGAGGAGAAGGAGAAACAGCTGGGTGGAGAGATGGAGCAGTTGTCATCTGCGGTTGATCTGTTGCAGAACACACTGGCAAAAGAAGCATCGGCTAGAGAGAACCAGAAAGAGATGCTGCTGGCGGAAAAGAAAACACATGCGCAGGTAATTCGGACTCTTCTTTCTTTCTCTCTTTTCTCTCTTTTCTTCCCGGGTGCATTTCTATTGTCGGGAAAGAGAATGAAAATTGTTGTGTACATTTGTGACTTCCAAGAACTAGGACTACTGTGTAGCGCATGTACAGGACCAAACCAGGAAGCTTTTGTCAGTGTGCCCCTGTTCCTGTCTATTGGATGCGCCTGTGCCTCTGCTCGTGGCAGCCTCTGATCTCAGAAAGCATTTTGCTACAATGCGCACAAGCTCAAAACTTGTTGACATCCAAGTGTTTACAGCACTTGCACAAGTGCATAGTGGTGCACGCGTACAAGTCTATAGTAGAGCGCACTCGTACAAGTGTATAGAGCAGTCGTACATTGGCTCAGAAAAGGTTTTGCTACAATGCGCATACATGGATGTATGGCGGACTCTCCTCCTCGAATATGTATAGTTCAAAACTGTTGTTAATGCCGTTGGATGAAGATAGAAGCTTTGTGATAGGTAGACTGGTGTGAAAGCTGTGGGTTACATGTTGAAGATAAGAGTTTGTGGCAGTGCAAAAAAAAGCTTGGAGCCAAGCAAATGCGGATTACGTTCGTGGAAATGCAGTGAACCAAATCGTGCAACCAACCAAATGTGGATAAGGAACCAAGCAAATGTGGATAAGGTTCGTGGAAGGGCAATGGAGTCTGACACATTCATGTTTGTTTTGTAGGTATAGAGAACATGACAACACACACGGACAATGAGCACAGCAGAGATATATAACGATGTAGAAAGACAGCGCGCACACACACACATGGAGAAGGAAATTGAAGGAAAGAAGAATAGCAGAGGGGGCAAAGCTGGGAATATTCATGCTTTGTTGAAGTCCTGCTTATGCCTTGTTTGCCCTCCAAGGAAGCTGGGAAGGAAGAAGAATAACATAGAGAAAGGGAAAACGGTTTAGAAAAGGAAATATTTATGTTTCTTGAACTCCCAGATGTTGCTCAATTTATGTTATTCTTTGTTTGCCTTTCAAAAAAACTGCCAAGAAGAAGAATAACACAGATAAAAGGGGGGGGGGGGATGAGATATTCATGTTTGTTGGAGTATTGTTTGGTCTTGTGCTTTGTTTGCCCTTAAAAAAAAAGAGAAAGAAAAAGAATAAGCTGAATAATTTGCGCTTCAGGTGCTAGTAAAAAAAAAAAAAAAAAAAAGTTGAATAACACAGAGAAAGGGAGAAAAGCAGTGTTGTCATGCTGACGGTCGGCGGCCCCCAAGAGGTCTGAGGTCGACCAGCCGACCGATCGGCAGCTGGTCGGCAACCCACAGGATAAAATAAAATAAAAGAAAGAAAAGCAAGCAAAACCACCATAACCCCTAAACATTCCCCCCACCCTGCCCCCCATATACCCCGCTCCCCAACACCCCCCCCCCCCCCCCCCCCATACACACCCCTCAACTCCCCTAACACTCCCATACCCCCCCCAATACCCCCATACCAGCGGGTTGGCTGTCGGATAGGATGCAACCCAGGAGGAAAGATGAAGAAAACGGAATATTAATGTTTGTTGCAGACTTGCAGTCCTATTTTGCACCCAGTTGCCACTCATTATATGCTATGCTTTGTCTGGTCTGTACTTAGAGAATTGAGAAGAAAAAAAATAGTAGAGGGGTAGGGAATAAAGTTCAATAAACAGAGACATGCATGTTCATTGAAGTCCTGTTTTGTTGCCAGGTGCTCCTCAAAGTATGCTAGGCTTTGCTTGTTCTTCAAAAAACCTGCTCGGTAAACCTTTTGCGAGCTCTATTTTTGGTGACCGGAAGCTGCAGTGTGCCTATTTGTTAATGGATAAACCTCTCTGCCTGGTTTCATTTCTTTTTCTTTTTCCCTTTGTTTTTCATTTTTCTTTCTTCCTTCCTTCTTTTTTTCGTTTTCTTCAAAAGGGCGATGACCTTGAGATATCCTCAAACTGACCTGCCCCAGGTAACTCACAATTATTTTAACCAGTTCATTTGGATTCAAAATTTCAAAGTCAGGGCTATATTTCAACAGCTCATGGGTGTACCAACTGAGCTAGTCCCATTGCTGGCTTGGCTTCATTTCTGCCGCGTGCAGCTAAAAAAGAATGCAAAAGAGGCAGATGCGTCAGTGACAGAGAAGGAAACGGCTGTGGCGAAGGCAAATCAGGAAATGGAGGCTGGGCGGGCACAGGTAGAGGCCTTGACAAAGGCAGTTCAAGAGTTGGAGGCGAAGTATGAGGTAAAAGGCCATTGTTTTTTTGTTCACCTTCTTTTTTTTTTTTGTTGGTTCAACTTCATTTCAACTTTGATTGCAACAACAATGGGTGTGTATGAGATATACAGAGGATGACTGTCCTGACTCCCCAGAGCATTTCAGAGGAGCGTTCATGTCAGCCTCTCAGCCCTGTCCACAGCAGTGCTATAGCTTGAGGCAAAGTATGAGGTAAATAGTGTGAAGATTGCAACAACAATGGGCGTGTGTATGAGAGATGGTGTCCCCTGAGAGTTAGCAGAGGAGTGTTCATGTCAGCCTCTCAGCCCTGTCTACAGCAGTTCTATAGCTTGAGGCAAAGTATGAGCGAAATATGGATCTGACATTCCGCTTAACCCTGCCATTGCAATATATGTTCTCATCTCTATAACAGAGTAGTGTGAGTAAATTGACACTCTGCTTGGTATTGCGAAGAAGGTGTTTTTGTCTCAAACACATGCCAATGCTGGGGTGGTTCTTTCTAGGGGTTGTGCTCTTTTTTTTTTTTGCAGGTTGGCATCTCAGGTGCCAGGCTACATTATAGGGGTTACAAGGAGGTCAAGTTGACAGGCTTGGCTGTGGCAGGTGTATTCCTTTCAACTGTGCAGAGCATTCACACTGTGGTTTTCAAGTTGAAGGTCTCAGATCTCCCACTTTTGCATGACATTCCATCTCATGCTGGCTGCTCTTTTACAAACCCTGTCAAGCTTTCATGCTGGAAACTCTGATCCTCGGTTGGCCTTTGGACCTCTGCCCGCCATCTCAGAATCTACAAAATTTCCTGGATGGGGGGCAGGCAGGGGTACAAAGACCCCTCTGCCGATTTGCTGCCATAGTGTTCCAGGGACAGGAAAACTATTGGTTGTGGTTCCTAGAATGAATGTGGCATCTTTTGACCTAGCATTCCAATTTTGAAGGTTGTTTTTCCGGGCCTCTACTTCAAAGTTGAAAGGCCTTTTGAATGAGTCGGGTGGGTATCTGATACTGGAGCACTTTGTTTTCTTGAGAAAATTTATATTGGATACTGATTGTAGCCCAGCCCTGGTGCTGCTACCGCTTGCTTAGGCCATTGATATAGCAGGCCTTAAACAATCTGAAGATAGTTGTCTATCGTACTATCTGAGCACCGCTGTGGCACTGGAGCCGAATGTGGAACTCGGGAGTGCTCACATCGGGGTTGAATGATTGGCTGTTTGCATCATCAGGCTGTCCAAGCTGGGAAGACTGCAGATGAGGAGGGCAGCAAAACTCTTGTGGAAAAGTTAAGTGAGGTGAAAGCTGCTTCTGTTGAGGCTGATACAGAAGCAAAGCAGGCCCAGCTGACGGTAACACATATCACGAAGGAGGTGGGTGCGAAGAGGAAGCTCCTGGCAACGAAGCAAAAGGAAGCAGAGAGCATGGCAAAGGAGATGGAAATGAGGAGGAATGCAGTCTCAAAGTCCAAAGAAGCACTGGCACAACTTGCATTTGACGAGAACAGAGCTACTCAGCTGGAAGATGTATGTTCTTTGGTCTTTTCCACGATGCTTTGTTTTCTGAGACATCTCCTTCCCTATGTATTATGGCTATTGGCCGTTATGGCACACGGGGGTATGCACCATGCACTCAACTGCACCAACATGGCGAGCCTTGCACCTGAGAGGCACAGTAAAAGGAGAGACGGAAGAAGACACAAGCCAGAAACCGTGGAAGAAAGAAAAGAAAGAACTTTGCAGAGAAAGGCATGCAATGACCTGCAAAATTGCAGACTGAGCAATCTGCTGTTTTCTGAGTATTGCTGTGTGCTGGACTGATTTGCTGAGATTTCCATGTTCTGCTGTGATTTGCTGTGTCTTCCGGTTATGTATGTGTGTAGTCTGAGTGCCCGTCGAATCCCGTGTGCTTGCTGGGCTGTCTGTGAGCCGGTGTTGTATGTGTGACCCGCTGATGTTTGTTCGTGTGCTGCTGAGGCCTGGGGGTGTATGGGGTTGCAGCGGGTAGAGTAGGGTATAGGAGGCCAGCGGAGGCCCAAGTTAGGAAGCAATGGGTAGAGTGGCAGAAAAGAAAAGGTAGTACCTTTGGGGTAGGCTGGGTAGCATTTAGGAGTCCGGTAGGCTAGGGGTAGGTACCAGCCTGGTAGGTCTGAGTCTAGGGCCTGCAAACGGGAGATATCAGGCTGCAGAGGAGTTTCCTGCCAAAAAGAGGGAACTGGTAGGCCTTGGAGGCCACCTTGGTTACTGGGAGGCCACAAGCGAAGAGCCACTAGTCCGGTATATCAAGAGGGGAGGTTAACAACCTACAATGGGTACCACTGGCCCTAAGTCACATCAAGGACTTGGCACCTTATAAATCCCCCCCCAACATGTCCGGCCTCTTTTGGATCTATAACAAGTCATCTATAACAAGTCATGGCCTTTGCCAAGAGAAAAGAACAACAACAACCCCCTTCCTAACGCAGACGAGGAAACAGATAAGGCAAACTCAAAATCATTCTGGGAACAACCCATCCGCATATGGAGAAAGATCTTGCCACAGAATAAAATTGGCCCAAAGAAAAGAGCTGAAGTTCTCAGACAACCCCTCTTCGGCAATCCATGGATCAAAGACGAAAATGGCCTCAGCTTCTCTCTCACCAAAACAGACATCAAATGGGGACATTGGGTAGAGAAAGGCGTATGGCAAGTGCAACATCTCTGGAATGAAGCAGCAAACAACTGGAAGACTGCAAAGGATCAGCGGAACTTACTATAAGGTTGCCACAAACTGCAGGCCAACATCACTCACATCATCGAAAGCATACCTGTAGAATGGCGTCAGTTATTGAAGACTAATCAAAATTGGAGGTGGGGAGAGTGGGCATCGAGCAGAGAACAAACACAACCAACAACAACCTACAGAATAAGAACTGGATACTCTGTTCCATCCATCCCCTACAGGAACCAGGAAACCCAGCTAGTTTGATCAGCAAAGAACCAAGGGCAGAAGGGGCCTTCATATCATCCAACCTCAGAAGGATCCGGGTCATTGAAGGAGACAGAAACAGAGTCTACCGACCCGGAACAGAAATAAACCACCTAGAAATAGGTCCTGCTGAATGGTCCTGGAGCAAAATCAGCCCACATTCCACAAGAGTCTACACACCCAAATTAGGCTACAAGCTCCACAACAAACCCCCCTCCAGGCACACGATCATACAAAAACGATGGGAAAAGGAGGAAAATACTATCACATCAACATCAACCCATCATGGACCTCTATATTTTGCACAAGACCACCCAAACTAGCTAGTCTGCTATGGCTCATAACATTTTGTGCAGTACCCGTCAATCTCTGGCTATCACAGAGAAGAAAAAAAGATAATGACACCGAGCAAACATCCTGGTGCAGGGTGTGCAACGCCCAACTCAAAGAATCTCTCAACCATTGCTTCATAGATTGCCAAAAGACAAAGCAACTCCGGCACGATATGGAATTAACCTGGAACAAACACTCTAATAAAACCATCGCGATCAACCCAGGCACCCTATTCCTAGACGTAGAACAAGACCCACCCCTCGAAGGTTTTGAACTTTTCTTCTTCTCACTCATAAAAAAAGCGACCCTCTGGGCTATCTGGAAAAGGAGATGCATAGCAACCTTCGAGGATTCTAGTCACACCCCTGAAAACCCCCTCATAGCCATTAAACATATGGTGGAAACCGAAATCCAAGCACAATGGAACACAACATACACGAAACTCCAGTTCCTACAAAATGCCCCAGATAAGAAACAAGAGATCATTAATAAGTTCACTTCCCTGAATCTAGGCAACGGGAAACTAGGAACGGTAGAAAGAGAAAGACTGCGCTTAAAGGACTGGTTAGTTATGCCCACATCAAATATCCAAAACCCTACCACTCAGACACAATCCACACTTACAAACAACCTACCCTTCATTGCACTTAATGGAACAGACACCGATATATTAACCTTTCTATCAACCCAGCCTAACCACCTACCACCGCACCCCCTCCAACCACCGCCCACCATCAAACTTCGCCCGAACTCAACCTCACCAATCTAAATACCTCCCATCCTTCAGGTCACACGCCCACACCACAAACCCAACTCACCTACGTCATCCACTAAATCCTAACACCTAGTACCCACCACACCACCCCCCATCAAGATGAACGGTCCAAGATCCCAATAACAGCTCGGTCAACGCACCACCTGCCTCCCAGATCTCTAGGGTTTAGGGTTTAGCTTCAGACGCTACTTTCAAGGTCGCTTTCAGACATTACTCCCAGAAGTTACATCAGCTTGGTCAACACACCACCTGCAACCTAGGGTTTAGGGTTTTAGCCTCAGACGTTACTTTCAAGGAAAACAGCTCCAAAGGATTCTGGAATTAGAGCAAAAGGGTCCGTCACACCCACTGTCCCGGGAAAACACAGACACGACATAGGTCCAATCGACAGTGAGGAACAGACAGAAGAGACCGCAAATCTCCAGCAAAGTCAACTAGCAGACACTCACATCTTCTAAGGGAAATAACAGCCTAGAATAGGCTAACTTAAGCAGGGGTGAAGATCGGTGCATCCTCCTTCAAGGAAGTAGTCAATGCCGTCTTCTGGGCCTCCACGCCATAAGGGGGAGGAGCGTGAGTGAGTAAGCATTGTACTATCTTGGACTTGCCGGGGGAATAGGAACCGGACTGATGCTCCCCAGAATGGAAAAGGAGCCAGAACCATAAGGTTCTGTTTGAAAAAGAAAAAAAGAAAAAAAAAAGAGGGGAGGTTAACAGCTCAGCCTCATTTGGCTGGCGTGCACTTGCTGGCTGAAGTGCTACCCAGCAAGTACAGCGCTGGGTGGTGGAGGTGACCAGGACGGAGGTGAGGCCTAGGTATAGGAGTGAGGAAGACGGAGGAAGATGGAGGAGGAAGAACGAGAAGAAGGAAGAAGGAGGAGGAGGAGACTGAAAAAGGAGCTTACCTTGGCTATGGCGGTTTTTATCTTCATGTTCTTGGTTGGCGCTGCACCTGAAAGGCCCCTAGTGGAAAGATACTTGGAAGGAAGACTCCGGAGATGGAATGTGGCATGGCAGCCTTGTGTTGTCCTTTGAACACTTCCGATGGTCCACCATAGCCACCGGCTCGATCTGGATGAAGGAGGTGTACGATGGCTAAGGTTGACTTCTTATTATTGTTAATAAGGTGTTGGGAGAGATGGTGGGTGGGAGATGGTAGCGAGTTGAGGGAGGAGTGACATTGGTTCTTGCTTGTGTTCATCATCTTCTTCTTCTTCCATTCTTCCTTCTTCTCCTCCTCTGTCTATTTCTCTTCCGATCTCTTTCATTCAGTTGCAATTGAACTGCGTTGTTTTTCTTTGAGCTTTTGCACTGTGAGATACCCAGGATCATAACAGGCAAAAAGAACGTTTTCAGTGTGCCTTATGCTGTCTGCTCTTTTCTTCATTTGTTCTGTGAAGTGCGTTCTTTTGTTCTTTGAGGGGGGGGGAGAAGGGGGGGAACTCCAGCTCCGGTCTGCTAGGAGGAGTGATAAGAGTGTCTCCCCCTAGTTGATCCCGCTGCTGGGTGCTCCAGTCTATTGGTGGGGAGCTATACCTGTGGAAACCGGGTCCAGTGTCCCAGGTACAGCATTGACGCTGGGGCCCTTACCCGGCTTAGGCTGAACAAAAGAAGAAGCTTGAAGAAAGACCTGGCCGCCTGCCCCTGCCACATTAGTCACTTTACAGGGGGATTGGGGTCAGTGTAGTGGCACACACCTGCCCTTCCCCTGCCAGGGCTGACATTGTGACCGGGAAACCTCCATTCGGTACCCAGACGCACACTATGCGTGTCCCGGGGGGGGGGGAACAGCTTGGGGCCGTGGACCTGCACCCCCAGCCACGGGGCCTCCCATCCTGGTTCGGTGTTTGTCACCCATGGTTCCGACCAACCACTAAAACCACTCCTCCCTCTTGACTGGCTACACCTCTCAGCTTCAGTATTTGGCCCTATATATCTCTGCCCTCAGACCTTTAGCCCCTTGCACCTCCCTCTTCCTCTGCTTCTGTTACCCATCAGCTTAGACCTAACCCCAGTTTTTTTTTTTTTTTTTAATCTAACACACACACTCACCCCATCTATTCTGGGGGGCACCAGTCCGGTTACTTATTACCGGCAAGCAGTGAAAGTCGAAAGAGAGGAACATTACAACAGATAAGAAAGAAGGAAAGGGCTACCTGCCCGACCCGAGTCACCTGACGGCAGGGGACTGCGACCTAACCCCAGTTTCAACCTTCTACCTTTTGCAACTTCAGATTGCACTGTTTCCATGTGCTCCTTTAGACGGCAGATATGTGACAATATATATGTATCTGTACTCCCTTGTATATTGTGAGCAGAGTTGCAATAGGTAATGCACGCTATAAATATGTCTTCTGCACGTACTGCTGAATAATTGTTCTTGGATCTGGAAAAGTATTCCAGTACTCTTTTACAGTGCCAAAAGTTGTCTATCTCAGGGGTGCACCTGGATTGCAGGATTGCCATTTACTGTAGCGATGATTGAGTACCATTACACAATTTTGTTACGATCCTGGCCAATTTCGAAGTATACAATCATCTGAAAGTACAATGCCATCCAATTGCTAAAAGAAATGAATGAACTTGAGAGGAGAGAGAGGGAAAGAAGAAGAAGAAGTAAGAAAGAAGAAGAAGATGATGTACTCCAGCATAGACCAATGTCAAGGCTCTTCTTCTTCGCCAACCAATCTCTTCCTCCTTATCTCCTCCCCTCTTATTCCAACAAGAAATAACAATAATAATGTTGAATGACTGAACCAGAATCAATGTCAGAATCCCACTTCTACTGCAGGCACAACATGAGGTCCACCATAGCCATGGCCACCCTTCTTCTTCCTCTACATACAGGCCGAGGCTATGGCGGACTACTGAGGCTTCAGCCTCCCGTCCAAAGGACAACCCAAAGCAGCTATGCTGCTGCCCCACTTCAAGGTCATCACCATGCAGCTATGCCGCTGCCCACTCAACCGCCATGCCTGACTCTGCCCCGAGCTTCCTTGATGCGGCACTACCCCCACTGGGGCCTTCCAGATGCAGCGCCTAACAAGGTGATGAAGATGGTGTCTGCCATAGCCAGGTAAGTACCCTACCACTCTCCTCCTTGGTCCTCTTCTCCCTCCTCCTCCTACCGATAGAGCTCCACCATAGCCAAGGTGGAAGCTCCCGGCTTCTTCCTCCCAGCAGCGCTGTAGTACCCAGCGCCACTCCAGCAAGCGCTCCAGCAGCGTGTCGCCAAACTTGCACACTGAAGAATGAGGCTGGGCTCTCCGCCCGGCCTCTTGATATAGCGGCCTACTTGCCTCCTGGGCGGTGACTTCCAGGCCGCTCGGCCTCCCCAAGCAACCGGTACTTCCTCCGTTTCGGAGGGAAACATCATTGCAGACCCTGATATTACCCGTACAGGCTCTAGACTCAGACTGGTTGGACTGGTACCGGCCTAGACCTACCCTACCGCTACTGGACTCTAAAAATGCCAACTTTGTCTTCTTCTGCTTGGCCTCCAGTACCCCTTCATGCCAACTGCAGTGGGGTGCGGTATCGGCCTACCTGCCCACTTGAGTGTTTTTCCGCTACCCCATGGGCTGCGGGCCCGCTAGCTTCACCACTTGAGTGTTTCCCTTGCTGCAACCCTTAATGCCACGGCCACAGGTAAGTACCGGCCCTACGGGCCTGCCAAACGAGCAAGTACCCTTCCGGGTCACACGCACACTCATGCAGACAAGCACTCAGACAGACACACAAGACCACAGGCACGCACGCACACAGACTTAGAAAACACAGCAGAATGCGGGAATCTCAGCAAGGCATCCATTCCATCAGCAGAACTTCAGAAATCAGCAGTGTTCTCAGTCTGTGTTATGACGGGTCATTACAATTTCATAGATAAAATGCAGGTTATGACATCTGTGAGCAGTTTATGTGTGCATTTGCTGAGCTGGTCTACATTCAATTCTCTAGGATATGCAGTTTGCTCCTTTTTATTTTTTGTGCTCCCTAACCTCCCCCGTCCCCCCTCCCCCTCCGCACTTCCCCC